TCGGAGCGAAGGCGAGCTCTTCGAGATGATGTGGGCGACGGTGCGACGGCCCGTGATGGCGAGCAGATAGGGGTTGGAGTCGAGGAGGGATCTCCTTGAGCATCTCGACCTCGGTGCCGTGCCCGCGCCGGGGGCGGCGTTGCAAAGGCGGCCTGGCGGGCCGTCTCCTTGCTGCTCAGCTCGATGGACGACATGAGGCCCATCTGCCAGTAGCGCAGGTTGCCGAGGTCAATGTGGATGGGCAGCTCGGTGACCGTGTCGTTGAGCAGGGTCATGTGCGTCCGCAGCTGCCAGAACTTGTTGACGAAGAGCATGGGGTCTGGGACTGTCAGTTTAGGCGTCTTCGGCGGGAGGTGTGTACTCACAGTACCACGAGTTCTGGCCGGTGCCGTCGCGGGCGTCGGTGGGTTCGAGGTGCAGGAAGTGGCGGGTCGCGGGGTGCAGGCTGCGGTGGTCGAGGACGCCCGAGTCGGGGATCGTGGACAGCGTGATGTTGGGGTGGTAGTAGCTGGCGATGACGGGGCCGCTGGGGGCGTCGTCCAGCAGGGCGTTGTCGGCATCGGCGTCGCCACCGTCCAAGAGGGAGCGCGTCTTGGAGACCTTCTTCTTGGGAAGGTACTGGGTCAGAGGGTAGGCGAAGTGGTAGGCCGAGGCGACGTCGAAGCCGGCGACGTAGGGGTCGGGCTGCTCGCCGGTCAGGGCGAGGTAGAAGTGGCCCCAGAGCGTGACGTTGTGCTGGACGGAGGCGGGCACGGTGAAGGTGGCGTCGGCGGAGCGCTTGTCGCTGTAGTTGCCGAGGTGGAAGTTGGTCTCGCGCAGGACGATCTTGTCGGCAGGCGTCTTGGCGAGGGGCTCGGGGCGCGGCGAGTCGGACAGGGTGACGATGATGTCGATGTGGCTGTCGAGCGGCCACATGGGGGCGATGCGGGCCGGGTTGGGATCAAAGGTGGCGCCGTCGGCGAGCGTCTTGGGACGGAGGACGTAGGGCGGGATGCCGCCGAGGTTTGGCGGGGACGGTGTAGACCTTGCCGTGGGGATCGGTGACCTCGGGTGGCCCCGCCGACGGGCTTCTTGAGGAAATAGTTGGCGCCGAAGTTCATGGCGGCCCAGGTGGCGAAGCCGAAGAGGAGCTTCTGGGTGGTGCTCATGGTGAAGCCCTAGGTTCGTCAGTGCACTGTCTCGATGGTTCTATTCTCGATAGTTCCATTGACTCGATGGTTCCATCGTCCGACGGCAAGAAGAGGGCGGCGGCCAAGACTCACGCCCTGTTGTTGAGGCTGCTGCTGCTGCTGGGGAGCACCGGCAGGCGCAGGCCCGGCGCCGCCGACGGCAGCGAGGGCATCGACGTGCGGCATGATGGGATGCCTCTGGGCGTGTCGGCAGGACTGTGGACGGATCGAGGGTGCTCGAATGCAGGTCCTGTGGCAAAGCCGTTGTCGAAGGACGAAGCAATCTCGCGGGGGGGGGGGGAGGATGCGGCAATAGTGGCAGCGACACGTTGTGAGGGCACGATGGAAGTCGAAAGAAGGACCACCAAACCACGGTCGTGATACGAATAGATTGCGAGACGGTGGATCTGGCCCTGGCCTCAGTGCTGGTGTCCGCTGTCAGTGGCCGGCTTTGGCAGGCTTCGTGCCCTGGGCGCAGTGTAGTCCCAGGGCAGGCCTGTGGGCGGCACTCGCTTGGGCGAATCAGGGGGCGCCGGCAGCCCACGCACGCCACGATCGAGCACCGGCTGAACCACGGCAGTCTGGGACCTGTAGACCCTGTAGCCACTGACGGTCAGTTGGGGAGGTACTCACCTGGGTAGGTCCTCTGGATAGGTGCTCAACTAGGTAGGTACCGAAGCTCGCGGTAAAGTCCCTAGGCAGGAGGCCAGTGGTAGGGTTCACCTTCAGCATCATGCTCACAGACGTAACAAGCAAAGACATCATGACTCGCACGCTCCCGAAACGTCGAGAGCCCATCACCAGACAATCGTCACCTGCACCATCAACCCAAGAGCTGGCTCCATCGGCGGATCCCTCGGGGCCCTGCCCGCCACGAGGAACCATCGGAAACTTGGGCCCCCCCCCTAGGCATCTGGGCATCCCTGGAGGAGCTGGACCCAACTCGGCCCGTTGCTACACCCACGCGCTCGGTCGGTCCCTGGCAGCACAATGTCTCAATCGTCAGGACCGGACGCCGGACTACACACCTACGGCCTGTGACCCCCCCCCCAATGCGATGGCTGTGGTGGGGGGTGAGGCGC